CACACACACACACACAGACACAGACACACACGGACGCGTACGTAAATAGACACACACAAAAAGAAAAAAAGGACAACAGGAAAAAACCTAGACCATCCCTCCCTCCTCCCCCCTCCCCACCCCTTATTCCAAACACACATCCACCTTGCCCCCACTAATGAGCTACCTGATACCGTCCCAAGATTCCCCTGCGCGACCACGGAGCAACAACTATAGCAACAAAACAACAACTATTTCACGTGTCTCGTTAGCAACTACAACAACAACTATTTCTGTGCTCACCATGAAGGCACCATGAACTTTTGCCTCCTCACCGATGTATTCTCGGGAGGAGGGGGGCGGGGGGATAGATGAGGGGAGAGCTTGGTGCACAAAGGATGCCTAGCCGTAGAACCAATTTGGTATTCTTTGGGAGAAGAAAAATAGAAGAAAAAAATTGGAGATTTTTGAAAGCGAGTTAGTGACCAAGAATAGAAAAGATATCTCATTAATTTGCCTGGCTAAATTTGCTCTCGTGTTTATGAACTTGAGAATTCTTTTGGGGAAATATTTTCACATTATCACTTTATATATTACAAATGAAAAAAGTGCCGTTTTTTTAAAGCGAAGAGCGATGAATATAATTGGTATCTCATTAATTTGCCAGGCTAAATTTGCTATCGTTTGAACTTGAATATTCCTTTTGGGGAATATTTTCACGTTATCAATATTGATTTATTTGTCAAAATATAGGTGTTTTACGGCCACATTGACATAATTGAAATGAGATCATTTAGGGGACAGACTTCCACCTTGCCCGTCAGAAGCATCTTTTTGGTGTCCCGTTTTCTGATTTTGGTACTGGACAATGTAATGTAATGTAATGTAATGTAATGTAATGTAATGTAATGTAATGTAATGTAATGTAATGTAATGTAATGTAACTTGTGCCAAAATGTGTCATAGTGGTAGGGCTTGTTATACTTTAAGAATGATGATGATGATGATGATGATGATGATGATGATGATGATGATGATGATGATGAGGAGGAGGAGGAGGAGGAGGAAGAGGATGATGAGGATGATGATGATGATGAGGATGATGAGGATGATGATGATGATGATGATGAGGATGAGGATGAGGATGATGATGATGATGATGATGATGATGATGATGATGAGGATGATGAGGATGATGATGATGATGATGAGGATGATGATGATGATGATGAAGATGATGATGAGGATCATGAGGATCATGAAGGTACTGGTGTAAGTTAATTAAGGGTTAGTATCCTCATTTATTTTCTAAAAATAAACATTGTGTTTTTCCCTCGACCCCTCCATTTTGTCTGACTTTCTGTCTACGCGGGTGGGTGGCGGGTGGGTGGAGGGTGCTGTGGGGTGGTTTGCTCCTTCCTTCTTATCAAACATCCATCGTCCTTGTGTCACTTTTTGTCGTTCTTCGTATATTATTCTTCTCTTGCAACACCTGAAAACTTCTGCACTTATATGGCCTATTTCTGTTGCAAGTGCCGTAAAATCCAAACGAAAACTAAACCTCTTTTCCATGTATGTTACTCTATAGCAAGATTTCTACCCTTCAGCATTTATACTATGACCTATTTGTGTTGGAATTACCGTGAAACTGTTACAAAAACTGACAGATTTTCTCGGTGACATTAAAGATGGTTCAACTAGGGAACGGGATAGAGGGTGCCCGCGTCCCTCGTGACTCATTGGAGCAAAGGAAGATAGGACTAACGCTAACATTACTTAAACGTAATCCCACATCATCACTCATCACCACCATTATTTCTAAAATCATCATTTCTTTGAATCTCTACCTGTAACAGTTACTTGTCATACTAAGTATGCACGTAATACACTATTGGACACTATCATACACACTTTTTTCTACTTATCAGATGGCGGCAATCATATAAATGGGTGAGGGACTTAAACAATTTTAAGAACTGTAACAAAACCTGCCGTCCCTGTCCCCAGATCGCTGTGCTAAGCCCCTGGTATCTGCAGCAGTCAGGGCGAGTGGGAGGGGAGGTGGAGCTGGGCTGGTCACTAATGCCCCGGTACGTCCGGTCAGCGCTCGTGCAGTCCTCCCTGGCGTTTGAGACCAGCAGCAGCTCGCCTACAGAGTTTGTCTTCAGACCAAACATCACGCAGCTGGGAGACTTCAACGACGCGGGCCTGTCCAGTGATGCGAACCTCACCTTCATCTCATTCAGCGCCTGGCTCAACTCCAACGGGTCTCAGTTTAAAGACGCTATGTCTCAGGCCAGAAACAACTCTGCGTTCACAGCCAGTGAGCTGAAGGCTGTGTACAGAGTACTCACCAGCGCGCGACTGTTGGGAGGCCGTGCCTTGCAACAAGAGGACACTCACGCGATACATCTCTGCGAGGAGTGGGCCGCTCACCTCTGCTCTGACGACCCGGGTTCGACGCCCACGGGCGGGAAGGAGCCCGACCTCTCCGAGTGCGGGGTAATGTATATTTTCCACAAGTGCCATGAAAACATTTCCTCTCAAGTGCGAGAGATTCTGCAGCAGACGTTTTGCGTCAGCGGCTCGGAAGAGTGCCTCAATTTTTCCGACGCAAGTCAGCCGTTACAAGAAGCCTACTTCCTGACTCTCTCAGGCTTCACGCAGCACGTGTCAACGTTTGTCCTTACCCGACAGAAGTCGTTGATGCAGACAGACCTGGTCGTCACCAGAAACCAGACGGAGTTAGCGCTGGGCTATGACGTCACCGGCAGCAACATGGCGGCCAGTCCTGCTCGGGTCGAGGGTTTCCTCACGAGTCACTGGATGATAGACTCTCAGAATGACGTCACGCCGCTGTGGACGGTCTACACGTGCCTTAAGGAGAGAGACATGGACTATAACATGAAGGTCAAAGGTGAGTGTGTGCAAGTGTGTCATTGGCTGTGAACTATTACATGAAGGTCAAAGGTGAGTGTTTGTACGTGTGTGATTGACCCTGAACTATAGCTATAACATGAAATATACAATGCAGGTCAAAGGTGAGTGTTTGCATTGCAAGTGTCTCCTTCAACGATGACGTCTATAACATGAACTATCACACGATAGTCTAAGGCGAGTGTACGCAAATATCTCTTTTTAAGTTTTTAACTAATGGTATGTGCTTTACGGTCTTTTCGAGACAAGGAAGATTATTTTAAAGGCATGCTGTTTCGACTTGACAACTTCGCAGCCGATATAAATATTATGATAATAGTTGGGGGGTTTTCTGTTAGTGTCTGACGAGGACAACACGTATCTGCATAGGATGACATCTCTTACACGGAATAACAATGAGGGTTCCTATAATAATAATAATAAATATCATTTGTATAGCGCATATCCCCGCTCAACAGCAAGCTCTATGCACTTTAAACTATATTATTACCCCAGCAGACCATAGAACACTCCGAACATTCTCAGCTTCCCGGGAAGCATACAGTGCAAGTAGCCGATTAAGCGCTCAAACACTAACAAACTGACAAGATCTTTCGCTGTCTATAGCCGGGTACTCATTCCCACCTGGGTGAAGTGAGGACAATTCGCGTAAAGTGCCTTTCCCAAGGACACAACGTCGGGCCCTTGACGGGATTCAAACCCACGACCTTACGGTTGCGAGTCCGAGAGCCTAACCACTAGGCCATCGCGGCCACTGTGGTTTCTGCCATGACGAAAGAAACAATTCTGGCAGAGAAGTGCTCATCACATTTTGAGAACCTAAGACCTAGAGCTTCTATTGTCCATTTGTGCTGCATCGAACGACATGCGGTTTTCGCCAAAAAATTCTTTAAAATATTCTCCAGAGCATGGCGCCCTTGGTTTTTTCAGTTTTGAGACAGTTTTGCTGCAAAAAGCTAAATTTCTTTATTTCGCCGATCGCTTTTGTAGGCTCTGTCTCTGTAATTTTAGAAAATCCGGAAGTGATATTTCGCAAGGCGCGTTTTGTTTTGAGAGTATAGATCTAGACCTTATAATTTTTTGCATCTCTCAAGAATTATTGCCCCATTCCATTAGAGTGTAAATATAGTAGGCCAATGACTTTTAGTTGATATTAAAGCACCGACCTAGACGGTCAGAGAACGGTTAGTATAAGAATGTATAGGCACCGCCGATCATTCCTTTCATCCAAAGGGGGCCCAGCTAGTTTTTTCTACTCGCAGATATGCGCAGCTTGCGGGCTTCTCTCTTTGTTGAACAAGATCGACATTACATGAATGTAAAAAGTGAATGTGTTCAACCATTTCTTTAACTGACTGTGTTTCGATTCTGTTTCGATTGATGTACGGTGTTACCACCCAGGAGACGGGAAGCGTTAACGTGGATGGAAGAGGCCGTCAGAAAAAGTTATCCGTACCTCACGTTTTAGTTCTTTATCTAGACTGAACGACCCACTCTGTCTTCTGTACCCGTCACTGCAGTAGACAGTTGTCGGAGTATTTTGGGAACAAACCAAATAGATCGGCACTTATAAAATGACCTATTTTTAATATAGGGGTGTTTAACACCCTCATCAATGCTATTTAATTTAGAATATTCAGGAAACAGACTTCAAACCCTACCTTTCAAGGCCGACTTTAGGAGAGAGAGAGATACAACATCCCAGCAAAAAGAGCGAGATACTCGATAAATATTCTCCCCACTGGGGAATTGAACTCAGGTCTCCGCTAGTCCACAGATGCTGATTATGACGTATTTGTGTTGTAAGTGCCGTAAAACTCAGACTCAAACTAAACTTAAACAAACCAGAAAAGATACAGTACACAAACTTTATAGAGGGTACCAGATTTACACTACAGCACATGGGGACGCGGGAGGTCGGTTGTCAAGCGATGAATGGTTGGTTCTCTTCTACCCGGAAGTGATGGGGCGTCAGGAAGGGGCGTGTCCCGAGGTAGAGGGCGTTAGCGACATTTGCCTTTGTTTGTTGTGTCCCTTGAGAGCCCGGACATACGTCACTGTGACACAGCGGAAGAGAGAGAAGTGGGTGGTGGGTGGGGTGGGGTGGTGTGGTGTGGGCTGGTGTAGGGTGGTGTGGTGTGGGGTTGGGTGGTGTGGTGTGGTGTGGGGTGGTGTAGGGTGGTGTGGGGTTGT